GCTGTCCCCCCCCCCCCCCTTCCTCCCTCCATGATGCTGCCAGGGCTGGCGGAAAGCAGACGACAGGCGCGGGGAGGCGGTTGGGCCAGGGGAGGAGAGGCTCCCAGACCACCGAGTTATCTCCCTGGCTTGCACCTAGGGAAACCCAAAAAATGGGGATGCGTGTGACCATTTCACGGGCGTCGCTTGCAGCCGGGCGCAGGGGTAAGGACAGAATATGTAATGCGCACGCTGGGAGGAAAGGCTCAGAGACGCCGGGCAGGCAGGGAGCCCTGTAACCAATGCAGGCAGCTCTTTGCGCCGATTCTCCATCTCTGCCAGCGCCCATAATAAAGACGAATCCCTGATTTATACTCAGGCCTTTGCAAAGCTTCATTCCTCCAGAGCAGATGCACACAAAAGGATTCAGCTCCCCGCAAGTCATCACCAGCGATACCCTCTTTAAGCATACACCCCCCCAGCACTGGGAAGCGGAAAAGCCCCGGCTCTCCGGCCGAGCCTCACAGCAGCGGGTCGAGCTCCGGGCCAGATGCTCATCTCCCCGACCCAGACCCCCAGAAAAAACCACCCCAAGGCCCTGTAACAAAAAAAAAAAAAAGGGGGGGGGGGATACTATGCAGCACCTAGGTAGGTTCATGGAGTAAAGACTGAGCTCAGCAAGAGCAGTCAAAGCCTTCCTGCAAACGACTGGTTCATATACGTGCCCGATATACGTGCTGGCTTTCTTAGCTTAGCTGTAAACACGAGGCCTGGCCTCATCCCCTCTGGGCTCGGGTGCTGCTGAAACCAGCTGCAAGAGCCGGCTGCCAGCAGCGGATCTGCCCCCTCCAACAGGACCGGGGCCGGGCGGACAGCTCCCAAGCCTCCATCCGCGCTTCGCTAGGGGTTGTGGGCGTGCACCCAATGCAGACGCAGCCCCTAGGAGATAGCTGCACAGGCCTGGTTTTTTGCTGGCTGGGAGGTGTAGACACCTCCTAGTGAAAGCAAACACATATACGGACCTGCAGGCCCAGCTCTTCCAGCACTAACACCCAGCAAAGCCCATGGCACCTGTATTTCTCCTGTTTGCACCGGTGGAGAAGGCCTAGGCTGGGAGCAGCATCCAGCTTGCCTCCCTCCAGGCTGCTCTAGGCATTTGGCTTCTGCTTTGATTTCTCCGGGAGCGAGGCAGAGACCTGAAATCTTCCAGGGTGCAAAAGATAAGACGCCCAATTTCTCAGCTAAGGCTTCCTCTCTGAGTGGATGGAAGCAGGGAGCAGCGGTCAGGAATTTCTTGGCAAAAATCAGAGCCATTCACCTCCATGCAGGCCAGCAAAATGGAAACGGATGCTGCTGCCAAACCAACCTGAGACCAGCCTGGGAGGAGCTCTTCCCTTGGAGTCATACGCTGCTTCCTTCGGCAGAGGCACTTGCTAACGTCAGGATTAGCAATAGTGGGGAGAAGCGGCAATGGGTGGGCATCAGCCCAGAGAGAGGGTTTATCTCTGGGGGAAGAGCTAAGGTCACAATCGGGCAGAGATACCTGTAGCCTTGATCCAGGGCTGACTTCACTTCCTCTGCTCTGGCCCAAACAGCATCAGGAGCCACAAAACCCCATGTCCTTGCCTTGCTCCTTTTACGAGGCAAGCTGCTACCTTGCTGCTTCTCTGCGGGGCACGTTATCAGCACACGTGCTCCAAACGGCTCACGTTAACGCTCCTTCGTAGCGATGCTCCCTGCCAACCTGCTCACTGCCTTCCGCTTTCCAGCCCGAGCCCTTCCTCGCGGGAGACGGTGTGCAGCCAGCCCCCTCCAGGCACGATGGGAACCACCGAGGCCACACTGCGGATGGAGAACGTGGACGTGAAGGAGGAGTGGCAGGACGAGGACTTTCCCAGGTTTGTTCCCTGCAAGAAGCCAGGGTGAACTTTTTTTTCCTCCCTTGAAAGAAACCGGCAGGGTGCAGAGCATGCCACCCCCTCCCAGCAGCCCCAAAGGCACCAGGAGTCTCGGCTCCACCAGAGCTGAAACACACAGGGCAGCTCTGGCCAGGGCTTTTCCAGCAAGGCTGCTCTCCAAGCTTGAAAGTGTTAGGTGGCTACTGGCAGCTCTGCGAGCATACCAAAAAGAGGGTTTGGGGCAGAGGAGACAGACCAGGATCGATGGATAACAGTATACAGGGATGGAAGGTCTATTGGATGCGTCTCCCCCGACAAAGCAAAGCCACACGGCCAGGAAGTTTGAAGCAAAATCCCTGGGACGCAGTGACCACCGGTGCCGATGCGCTGCGCAGCAGGACCTGGCCACCTGCTTGGGTGAATGAATGGCCAAAGCACTGCTCTTGCCTTCTCCCTGCAGCTTCTCAGCCCCAGAGATGCTCACGTTTTCCAGGTCAGGGCAGACTTAGCTGCTCTACCCACGCCAGCGACCGTGCTGCTTCTCTTCGCCTTGCTTTGAAGCAATGGTTGCAACCTTTAAGAAACATATGGGTGAGAGCAGGTGACAAGGTGGCAGCTTTAGCCTTCCCACACAATTTATTAGCTGCAATGAAAGCAGACAGAACTCAAAGCTCATAGCCTTACATGCACCAAGCTCCCTGCAGCCAACCGAAGGACATACCCACACTCATCCCCGTCCACGTGTCACCTCACACGTCCGGCCCCGGCCCCGCTCGCCCACGCAGCCCAGCACCAAGCAGCTGGCACGGCCAGCCCTCATGCGAGGGGGCCGAGGGGCTTTCCAGGGCCAGCTCAGCAGCCACAGCTGCGGCAGGGGCCCCCCCC